TATTTGAAACTGCAAAATATCACAATATGGTCTACAAAAATATTAACAATTTTGCAATAATCTTTGAAAATAATATAATATACAGATAATTAGTATTCAACTTGATCAAATGCACACATTTATAATATAAGCATATTAGTGTATTATAATATAATTTGATTATTGTATGCTTCTATTACAAATAATTACATCAATTATTATAATATGGTGTCTCCTAATTTCATTCTCAGAATTTGGCCAGTGTGTGAATCAACACGTCACCTGTTTTTTGTGTCTAGTATTACGATAAATACGTATCACTAGTGGTCTGTAGCAGCTTAAATGATGCTGATTAACATCACACAAAATGGTTTTCCATAAGTAGGACGTACAATGTTCAAGAACAACAAATAAAATACCCTCGTTTAACACTGCAACAAATTAAATCTTTTAATAAAGACCTGAATATTGAAAGAATATTGAAATATCATCGTACACACGAAAGCACAGTAGAACAGTTTTCACACCAAGAATATTGAATAGCAAATATTTAATAGCAGGCGACCTCAATATTGGATTGTTGCTGTCACGTGAAACTAGCTGCGTCGACAGTAGTGAGTAACCGGCCGCCAGAGTTTTTCTCCAGACAGTGGCTGAATTCGACCCAACTATAGAAGCTACGTAGTGCCGAAAATTCGCCATCGGTAGAACTCAAACCATAGGAAGTCCCCAGTAGTCGCTGCAGAAACAGCGATTAAGCCATCTCAACCCATGGAGCAGGGATGAAGAGGGGAAAAGCGGAATGGTGGAAAGTGAAGCGGAGAGAAGCTGTCTGGCAGTAAGGAGAAGATGGATGAATCGGTATGGGTGCCGAATAGAAAGCGATGAAGCGGGAGAAAGCTGGCTGGGCCGACGGAGAAGCAATGGAAAGCGGGACCAAAAAGGATGAAGCGAGCGGAAGGCTGTTGGCGTGGCGCGCGCAGCGCAGGCGCTGGACGTAGTGAAAGCGCGCGTTCGGACCCTCCCGACCTCCGTTGGCGAGCCTCTACCGCCCCCGCCCCGCCCCGCGGTCCTCCAGCCCCTCCACGCGCGTAATAAGAGAAACAGGACCTCATTACGCATGAACGCACGGCGAGTGGGCGACGGCGGCTGCAGAGGGAAGGGAGCGGCGGGCGGAAAAATAACGGCGGTGGGCGGGCGACGGGGCGGAGGGCGACGTGGGCGCGAGGCCGCGCGTAGGCGGGAGGCGTTGGAAGCCTTACACGAAGAGAACGCGGGACGACACCCCAATTTTGGATCGCACTCGCTCTGCGATCCAACAGGGAACAATTTCGCTACCATTTTTTTCACTGTGCTAGTTATAATAAAAAAAGGCTGCAGCGAAGAAGCCGTCCTCGGTGGCGCAGTCGCTTGGCGCATCGCTGAAGAGCACTGCGCCGAAAGCTGCGAGATCGAGAGTGCTTTCATAATGATCTGGTTTGCTTCTCTTACAACCACATATCCCGCATGAGTCATCACACATTCTACAATCGTTCATCTACCATACGCCTCACTCTTCTCTTACGCTCAGAAATTACTAATGCATTCGTTTTATCACATTACAGAAGATCCTTGTAAAATACGATAAATGTAAATTAAGTTTGTAACTTCTAACAACATGCTAACAAAATATTATACTCAATGTACATTTTATAAACTATGTACAGAAATACATAATATACAAATTTCCTCCCACCTTTATCTTTTCTGCTCCAGAAACTATTACAAATTGGTCCAAAGCCCAATGGATCTAGTCTAGAGAATAATCTGGCAATGGAGAGATGCTACTTTGGGTGCGAAAATTCAGGGGATGCGAATCGTCCGAATAGTAGCGAAACAAGAAAGGAAAACAGGAAAAGGACAAGAAATGAAGGACCTGAGACTAGAGTGTTATGGCGTAAATATTGCCATAAGTGATGAGGCAGATGAAGATGCAAAAAATGTGCTTGAAATGAGAAAACACGATGGAACGAAGCAGAAGTAAAAAGGAAGAGGAAATGGGCAAAGGAGCGGTGGAGATGTGCTCTGGCGCCATAAAGGAGACGCGTACGAAGAGGCGGTTTCGGAAATGGCGCACATGAAGGAAGCTCTGGAAATGAATTTCGGAGATGGCCTCGGAAGGAAATGAAAGCGCAGTGTCAGGTGGCACGTGGTTCAAAACAATGGGGCCAAACACATTAAGGAACAAAGCAACGCGGTTCGAATTGTCAAGAGTGAATCCAAAATAACTAAAGGAGCGCGATAGCTAGGATATGACTGCCGCCCTTTGTATAATGAGTTGACCGCACGGCGTATGATATTTACCTGAAAAGAAATCCTCGTCGGATATAATGCTTAGAATGCTAACGCACACCGGACTTTTGTATTTTAAAACACCCGTATCCTCTCTAACAAAATAAATTGGTTCATTGAAATTTGGTCGTAACTGATTAGATTAAGGAGCATAAATTATGCGCTACGTTTAATCTCTTCAAATGAAAATAATACAAACTGTTACTCTTCCTAGGCAACTAACAACTACAACACTGACTACACTAGGACAGTAGATATTAGTGATAATGAATAAGTATGGATATTATGGCACGAAGGGCGTTCGCACCCGTGCTACTGTTCACAGAGACAATTTACAATTTACGCTGAGGGTACCAGCTGCGTGGGTGGCACAGACACAGAAATGAAGGGGCGGGACGTAGCAGAGCAGAGTTGGCGACGCCAGACACTGAAACAGCTGCTGCAAGATGTGGAGAACAATGAGACAAGGGGTTGGGTGTGTTACAAAATACAATGAAGAGACATGTAATAACAGGGGCTGAGCAGAGAAGAAAAGTCTCGAAACGCAACGGATACAACCACTCCGCGTCGGAGTCGAGTAAGACTGCAGCCACACTAAGGGGATATGAAATGCGAAGGAAGTTCCCGATGATGAAAACAACCATGGAAAACAAGAATGGCATAACTGAAAGAGAAAGCGAACATTTATTTAAACAAAGATATTAAAGAAAATGTAAAGCGAAATGAAATTGCGTGACTTTGTCCTGCGACCAGAATCTGATAGCTTCATTTATTTGTTGTAAGAATTACAATGCAGGGAACGGAACAATATTTGCAATTTCGCAGTTGGACCAGTCTCATCGGATGGATACTGCAATCTCTTATGAAGATTGAATGACGATGTTGATGATGTCTGAATGACAAAGAAAGGAGCTGTAAGTGGTAGAATGAAAGAAACAAGAAATAAGAGAGCACCCCTTCACAACAGATGCTTTTTATAAGTAAAATATATATCGAATTAACAAATGTGTAAAGATTACTTATTACAAAACGTCACACTTTTATGAATGAATTGTTTGTTTCTGAGGAAACCGTTTAAATTTACTTTACTTGGCTACCCGGGAGACGCCGCGACCAGGACATAGGTGCCAACGTTTTGGTCGCCATTCTGCGACCTTCATCAGGGCGTAGTTATTGCAATAACTCCGACCGCGGAAGCATACGCTCTCGGTTTAAATTTAAAGTTGATACCAAAGATGAAAATATATATTTTAGAAATTAATTATTTTATTGTTTATAGAATAAAAAACTACAACATGTAAGAATAAAATATTAACATTTTCTTAAATATTTATTACTTCTTTTAAAATATACTGATTTTAATTTAGAATATCTTAAAGGATATGACATGTCTTTGGAGCGGAATGGGGGCCGCAGACACTCCAGGCGTACCCCAGGGCTCCACCCGGAAACCTCTTTGCCCGTGGGCTTGCCGCGAGGCGTGTGGACGGTGCAGCCCGGGACGACGATTCGAGATCCGCCTCGCCGCTAACTGATTTCCGCCCTCGAGCGCAGCGAATTCTAATGGATATTTATGACCACGGTGCGTTCTTTACCTCTAATAGAACGCACGCGGTGCTACCCACGCATTAGATACGTAGAACATTGTAAGATATTGCAAGCGGATGAGAAGAAAAGAATTTCATATACATTCATATACATTCAAAAACGATTTTCGTAAACAATTCATACAAAAGCAATTGTGAGAAAAGCGTGCATATCAGTTTACATAATTTTACAACTGTGACTGTGGCAATGCGACAAAACATTTACAAAATACCTATTTATTACTTTGAAATGTTCGGGAAAATGTAGGCTACAATATATCATTATAAAGTATGGGAATATAAAAAATAAAATTACCAGAAGATCCTTGTGAATTCATGTTTGATATTACGTCGCGTAAGATGTATTAGTAACAAGTATAATTGCCGTGACAATGAACTGTTTATGGGTACATATTCGTTTTCGGCAAATCACACACTTGGAAAGAGTCATAAACCAGTGATAGTACAACTGTTCTTTCACTGAACGTATGGATACTTGCCACAATCCCATCTCTGTGTACGAAATATAAATTTCCAGTTTTAAAATGGAACATATTCTACCAGGCAATCTATGAGAAAACACATTGACGCGAACATTCAGCTAATGAGAAAACGTTCATTTTCACGTCGGGTAAATGCTACTGCAAAACTTGCCTCTTATACTACTTACTTTCCAATTCTAAATGGTTACACAATTAGATCAATTATTGTTTCCTCCCCATTTGTCAGCGCGTAAGTTTATTTTCCTGTCAGGAAGGAAATAAAATACGAGACATTTTATCAACAGATTTAACAACACATTAACTGCGACAACTTACAAATGTTAATTGGTTTTTGAAATAATATTCTGACTTCTTATTCACAATAACCTTCGACTACATTCTTCTGTTGAGAAATATGATCTTCTTTTTGCCGTCAATGTCATTAAACAATTGTGCAAGAAGCGTGTTAATTTTCATTCGGTAATTAGTGTGCTAAATAGTTACTTCGTGTGAAAAATTGTGTGTGCAACAGTTTCTCTCGGTGCTCTGTAATCAATTTAAATAATTGTGTCTACACAGATAATGATCAAAAGTTTTAAGTACAGTGCTAAACGTTTTGTGGTTACAATGTAGAAAATTGACTGTAACCTGAATTGTAGTCCGCCTCTGTTTGTGTCACTGCTGCCATGTTTTCCAGCTGTTGCAGGGAACTGCTCTCAGAAATAGAATTAACTGCATATGTTTCTGGATCTGTAGACGGAATTGGTGATTTATGAATTGAATTGTCTTCATGTATACTAATCTCTGCGTCAGTTTCTGTTCCCGGTGATAGAACTGTTGACTTTGGTATGGAATTATTCTCAACTATTGTATTCTCTGCAACTGTTCCTGACGCTGCAGTCCCTATTGACTTTTCAGTCGAACTATTTTCAGTCATTCTGTTTTCTATTATCATTTCTGTTTCTGATGATAAAAATGTTGATTTTTGCATCATACTGTTCTCGGATACATTATCATCTGACGGCATTTCTGCAGCAGTCGAGAGAATTGCTAATTTTTCAGCCATATTGTTTTCAGACATATTATTTGCTGTTACCGCATTAGGAATGGTTGGTAGAATTATTGTCTTCCAAATCGCACCGCTTTCATCAATTACGTTCTCGGAAATTGTTAATATCACTGTTGATATAATTGTTGATTTTTCTATAGCATTATTTTCAGAAACGGTGTTGTCCACATCAGTTCCCCATGTCACCGAACCTGAAAACAGAATATAACAATGGAAAAATAGAAGTTTGGTTTAGCTCTCAAATATATGCCTAAAGCAAATTCTGATGTAATCTGTCGTCATTCAGTTAAATGTGGTAGCATCGTGAGGATAAAATAATGCTCTCTTTAGTTCAATCGCATTAAAGATAATGGAATCTGCAGAAATACTGTAGATTTTATACAAGTACCGCCAACAGCTGAAAAATACATTCAACCTTGTTCATACCTGTGAGATATTATTGCCTTTGAACAACCATTTCCAACAAGAGAATATTTAAAACAAATTCATATAATTGAGAGAGATTAATGAATCTCGTTCTCGAAATCTCAGATTCATGAAAGTAAATTGACAGCCAACTAAATATTGCGAATCCAACTACCATTTCCATCAATAAATAGAATGGTTCAATTAATTAGATTTATCGAAATATTTAAAGTAAAACGCACTCAAAAAAATAATTATTACTCACACCTCACCCTTCCCTACTCAGAAAACGTGAGTGACATAGTTTTACTTGGAAATATTGAATTAGGCCTACATACTAATTATTTCAGACTTCTTTTTTTTCGAAAGGTGCAGATATTTCGATGCCCAATGTTAAATGAAGCATCCTGCACATCGATATTCCCCTAACATAAACTCTTCCCGCAGCTCCATCTCAGAACTAAATACGAGATCCTCGTACTCGAACATTCCTTCTTTCCTTACACTGGCCGCTCCTCGGCTGCCGTCGCCGCTTCTTCAAGCATTGCTCTCGCCGCCGAATTCAAGCCACGCCCTACGCGTTTTTTCTTCGGCGTTGGCGGCGGGAGCACAAGCAAAGTAAATGGGAGTAAATTGAGCAATTACTTTGTTTAAACGCGCTCCGTGGACTCGGGGCAAGCACGTAATAGAAGCGCGAGCTAGCCCACCCCGCTTCCATCACGTTAACCAGTCACATACTTCGGCCTAGGCATACTAACTCGATGCCTAGAGCCTCAACCTTACAGAGGGTTCAGACCATTTTAACGCCGGCATGTTTGGTCAATTGCTTAGCAACATAAAGACACCAGTAATTATGTAAAACAAATGCAATGGCTCTTAAAGGTTTGGGGCATAATTAGAAAAGCTCTTTAGGTTCCGTGTGAAGTTTATGCCGTAACGACAATTTATAGTCAATATGATTTATGATTATATTAAAATAATTGTATATGTATTAAAATATACGTTTTGACATCTTAAAAAAGCAATGTACTTCCTGGTGGGAAGTTGGAAGGCAAAGGCGTCATTACATACTCGGAACGTACACGCCGAACATAGAACTCAAAATTTATCATTTTTTTTCAAACGAAATATAAAATAATAATCCATACTCATTTTTGCAACACACAAGTCGCTTTCAGTGCTAAATCAAGTAAACGTACAAAATGTAATACAGTGCAATAAAAACCTCATTCATTGATTTCCGCTATATAGACAGAAACGATGCAACCGGTTGGGATATACTCATAGTAAGGCCGTCCATTTTTGTGTAAAGAACAAAGTTCCCCGACAGTAATTACAATGTACATTGTAATGTAATTATAAACGTAAACATTACATGTTCAAAAAAGCGTAGTTGGTACATTTCTGTTCCGTTTCATAATTTCAATGTCAATTTTCTGAAGACAAAATATGTTCAAAAATAAAAGATAAAGAACTTTTCTTAAATTACTAAATACCTGTGTCCCGACAGCGTGAAATGCCTAGGGGCGCCTGGACCATCGTCCTGCACAGCACTCACCATCACCCTTCCCCCTTCGCATGGTCTCCTTTGCAACCCGAGGGCCGTAACTTGAGCGCTGACAGCTCAGCTGCCACGCCGCCATTCGGAACGAGCTCGCTTATGTCTCATACTCGCTACACGCGCATCATCCCATTTGTGGCACGCTTTACACCCGGAAGAAAAGGCTCAACTACAGACGCAAAAGCTAGACTGTGTTTACGTCAGTAAGTGGACCGAGTTTTTTAAAAAAGAATGTAGGAAGTCAACAAGAAAGAATTAATTGAAGGGAGGCGTTCTAAACTCAACTCGCCTCTTGCGTTTTGCATGGTCCGACATCCGCAATTCAGTAAGGTTTGCGTGCAAAATGTGTCGCCCTAAGTGGAATAACCCAAAGTAAATAAATGGTCAAGAGCTAAATTAAACACCTACTCACGCTTCAAATTGGACGTATAAACATAAGAATTCGTTGAATGTGGGTCAGTCAGCACAAACACGGCAGTGCTACTTTCACTTACAGACACTCATTTCTACCGATTGAAATACGTGATGTGGTTCCGAATGTTTAAGTGACGTTCATTTCACAAACTCTGGTAATTACATATGTTACCATCTCAAACCCCAATCAATGGTTAATTAATGCCTGAAAAGTACTAACACACACTTTTTTACTTATGAATGATGTGAACGTGTCTGATGACATATTTCTTTACCAAAAATCGGTGGTTACCGAGAAATCTTGTGAAAATCTATATTGAAAAAACAACTACAACATCGTCCGTAAAAAATATAATTTTTGTGAAAGATTTATTGTTTTCTTGTGGCGATTTCTTTACTTTTCAAGAATAATAATAATAATATAAATAATAATAATAATAATAATAATAATAACAGAAATACTAATAATAAATTATTAGTATTAATATTATTATACCTGAGAAAATGCATTTTAAAAGTGTTTTGTTCGATACAGAAAAATCATGTCAAATAAGAGTTAAGGAACGTCAGTATTAGCGAGCAATGCCGTAAGCGAAGCGGGTCTAACGATCGCAAACGTGAATGTTCTGCGCTGGCGGGTCGTCGCGCAAAAACGAACGGCAAAAACTACGCAGCAATAAAAACCTATACATCTCCAAACGCAACCTCAAAATAAGTAAACGCACAAGATACTAATATAGAGGGAAACCGTTGAACTGCAACGGATCGGAGCGAACCGCTCCCTCGAAACGCAACCAGCAGTTCGCGTTCGTTCCCAATCGTTCTCACTCGCTCGTTAACATCATGCTTCAGAAACTGGATAATCATGACTAGGGAGCGGATTTTAATGAAATGTCATATTTTTGTTTTCACTTTAGAACAATGGCGTCCAGTATATAACTTCATTTCTTGTTATGACACAACGAAATTACCCATTTTTATAAGTTTTTTTCTGTTGCATTTTTCGTCAATTTCGACTATTAAAACATTTTTTCCCCTTTTACGTAATTTTTACTGCGTTTTCTCTGATTTCGTCGATTTTAATGCCATTTTAATGATACTTGCTTCAAACAATATTTACGCGGTGCAACAAATGTTCACCACAGAATTCCTGAGTAGCCTATTCAATTTCTTCACCTATATATTGTCATGACTGCCGTCGTTAGTACTAAGTAATTTAATGTTCCTGTGATGCTTATCGGTGCCGTTGTCAGTTCGGCCGATTTTTTGTTAAAGCAGAGATTTCCAAGAACAGTCCAAACCAAAAGTTTGCGATCTGATTTCACTTGAACAAAAAGAAGACCGAATTACATCAGTAACATATCCAACAGCTTGAAGTTGTTCATCTGAAGTGGTTTGGATACATTTTTTGTCATTTTTCTTTGCTTTTAGGTCATTTTAAAAGCCTTTTAAGAACATATTATTGATCATTTTTTAAAATGTTTAAGGTCATTAAAATCCGCCCCTTAATCAGGAACGTTCGGTTCTTTGCGGTTACAACCTTGCTCGCCAGAGTAGACGCGCTCAAACAGAACACTTCACCGTACCTTGAGATGCTGATACTGAAGACACTGTGCCCAGTTCCCCTTGTGCACCAGGAGCTCCTGAAAATAAAAGAATTTTGTTAGTAGAGAATATTAGTCACATAATATTATTACACTTGGTGAGGTACATGCATTGTAAAAATTCAGAAAAAAATGCGTTGTCTAAATATCATCGTTTGCTACTTAAGATATTTTCGATTGCGTAGTTATCATCAGAGATAATTATATATAAATTCGTACATATTTTCTTTTCAGATTAGCTCTGATGATGATCGCTACGCGATCGAAAATATCTTAATTAAAAAACGTAAAGATATCTAAATAACATATTTTTCTGAATCACTGTCGATTAAAAACGAAATGTACACTCGGAGAGACACGAAAAATTACATTCTTATTACAGATTTTATTAACGAATATATCATGCGCACAGAATCATTAATCTCCGTACATTCACACGTTTAAAGGTGAGCAAAACGATAACAGGAAAGGTACTCCTACACCAGCTACTAATTCACCACTTCCAGAGACCATAAACATTCATATCAAAGCAAAGAAAAGTAAAGAAAAAGAAAAACGTCCTGGGGAAACTATTTAGAATATTAATGCCTGTTTGTTACCAAGGATATACAATTGTATTCACCCTTCGTCGTAAAGTATGGACGTGTAAGTTTTCTGACGTATTCGGTTCATGAAGTTTTGAATCTGCTTAAGTACACTTGAAAGAAATCGCGTACAGACTTAAGCCGAAAACATACACAAAATAAGAAAATTGCCTCGGATATCCATTCAACGTTCGCTGATACTACAACGTAAGCATACGTAGCGAGCGCTCCTCTTGTTGGCGTCTTAAATTTTGTTTCGCGCATCTCCGGCTCTTGGTCGCCTTCCAAGGAGCAGGGCCTAGCGCTGCTACCGGGATATAAGAGACGGTGCAGACAGTATGCTAGCTTAGGGTGGATGGAGAACAACGAGGTACAGAGGAAAAAGGAGAGAAAATGAGGGGCTGGGGTGAGAGCGAAAAAATGAGAAAGCCCAAGGTACACAGTGTTCGAAAACGTGATTCCAAGTGGACATGAGATTTTAAATTGCTTTATATCACGTTACTAGGAATGCTTTTATATTTTTCATCGTTTATGGAGAACTTTAAATACTAAGGATTTTAACAGAACATAGTTGCTTAGTGCATAACATATGCTTTATTTTAAAATTCAAAATATTTTCCAACCTATTTAATTTCCGCAAATATTGGACTTAGGGGCAGCCTGAGTTATCTCAGAGCCAGAATTATCTGGCTCTGGAGTCAATCTGATTGCAAAATCTCTGTAGTCATGGAATTAGAATTCCGACAGAAGGAAATTTTCGACACTATCTACTTAGCTACGCCAACTTACTGAAAGAGAATTCTTGCGATTGACTGCAGTGGTCGGTAGTTTTTCGTGGTTTCTCCGATCAATACCAGTGTAAGGGTGTAAAGGGCAAAAGTTATATTTATAAAATATCCTTTTTATAAAAATATTGTTAAATAAAAGCAATTTAAAGTACATACATAAAACGTTTCCTGAATACAACTACTATAATAATTACACTAAAAATATTGTTTACAGATAAATTTATCTTCCTTACAGGAAATGTCATGAATACACAGGTGTGCTCATCGACCTTACAGAAACTATTTACTAGCTAGTATTTTGCCACTATATCATTTTTACCAAACACCAACTTGTTCACTCTACCTTTCAATACCATTAGTTCTTAGGGTTTCAGTATCAGAGAGATCAAGCTGTCAATACCCTCTCTGTCACGTACGAATTTTAAATAATTAAATATAAAAATATAAAGAAAATAATGTGAAGCACACAGTTTGCTTCCTTAAGATTTAAAAGTTGATAGAGGAACGAAATTTTTCTCCGGTTGATTCTGAGGTAGGTTTGCACATGACAACAAATTGAAGTCGAAATAACCATCACCATAAACGGGGGATCTCAGAGGACCACCAAACTATAGTGTTTTTTTATTTCAATTTTTAGGAAGTAGAAAAACGTTGATACCGTTTATGACGTGCTCTCTGTTCAAAATATGATACAATATATGACAGTGTAATAATTGGAATTGTTGCAGAGTCTTTGGATGTGGGTAAAAATCGGAAGTATTCACTCAAAAACTGAAAAATCTAGAATACATTGTTTCAAAGTATTAAGAGTTAATATAATTTAATTTAATACATTAAAATATCGTATCCGCTTGTTGACATAAAATTAAATAGATTTTGTGAATACATAAAAATATTGATGCGATAAATTCGATTTATTTTACTTTCCAGCCACAGATATTTAGTAATATTTTTTTACTTAAATGAATGTATATGCATATTATTAATTACACCAATTTATTAATTTAGCAAAATTGACAAAAATATCAATAAAATCAAAAATTAAGCGGTAGGCACGAGACGCCCTCCCCCCTTACACGGTACCGTACGGTACTGCTAGGGCTGAGGCTTCCCGATAAAACCCAGTTGGTGGCGCGGCGAGTCCTATTTGGCCCTACTGCGAGGCGATGGCGACGGCGACGGCCCGCATTCCGCCCGCAGGCTGAGTTATGGGGACGCCGCCGCCGCCATCCAGGCCCGGCGCGGGGCGACGCGGCGCCTGGGTCGAACCGAAGGAGCTTGCGCCTCGCCTGGAACGCGCCACGCAGACGCGCGGCCCCCGCTGCTGCGAGACGGCGAAGACGCGTAATTGTACGAACAGCAACATTTGCTGTTCGCGGTACTCAATTTGCCCTCCTGAACGGACCACAATTTGCCGTCATGGAAGAAGTAACGGCTTCGGGGGCGACTACTCTCCTGCATTTGACTTGATGTCTTTTGGCTTGTAATTTTAGCGTTTAAGGCAGATGCAAACAGTCTCATTCTAAAATTCTATCATCTTTATTTACGTGACAAAAACAAAATCGTAACTCACAACTCATGTATCTTCAGTACATGTCAATAGTATTATCATACTTAGCGAACTGTAGTTAGTTTTAGGGTATCAGCTGATTCATATAATTAGGTTTTGATATGTTGGATCATTAGATCATCAGTTTAAAAAACTTGATTTTTCCCCTTTAAAATATTTCAAAATAGTGAATTCAGTGTTCGAATCGATTGGTAATTACCATTATATTTAAGGCAAGAAAATCAGTCTTCTCTTTTTCATGTCTCTTAAGTCCTTTAAGATTAAATAGATTTATGTATTTTTAGTATTGACTTTAAGAACCAATTATTGACTGTTTATACCTATTAGAATTTTTACGTTTTAAATCCTATATAATTAGATTCTTCTTCAGGTACATATTTTTTCTACACAAGCAAAAACAATAATTTCACTTACATCAATATGTACAAAACCATTACATTTAAAATTATTATTAAGAGAGCTTACATGAGTTATTTCCCATCACCTTTAGTCAAAACTAATAAACGGATATGTTGGATGGTAATTCCTTCAACATTTTCGACAAAGCTCGTTTATCTTTCTGTAGAGTGCATACAACGGTTGTCACTACGAAACCACGATAATTAATTAAACCTTTAACAGTAAGCACCTCAAAATTAAGACTAAGTAGTACATGGATATACAAATAAACGAGAATGCAGTGAAGTTGTGTCAAGACTTTCAACATGTCACCGACACGTGATAGGCATTGAAAACGCGCATACTTCAACTTACAGTCCAAATAATTCACGACCACTCTTGAAAAGAACGTCATAGCAAACGCAAACCACAAAGCATTCCGACCGAGATAAAAAAAAGTGAAGCGAAAAGAAGTACATACTTAACTCAGCGAGTTGCACACGCCGCACATAGGCGTTGCGTGCGTGGGCGGACGTCACATAAAAAA